ATGCTCTGGCTGGTGTGGCTCAGTGGATTGAGCATTGGCCTGCAGACTGAGAGGTCTCTGGTTTGATTCCCTATTGGGGCACTTGCCTGCATTGCAGACCAGCTCCCCAGTTGGGGGCCTGGAGCCAGAGGCAATCCATCGATGTATCTCTCGCACATCGATGTTTCTCTCCATCTCTTTCTCCCTCCCTTCCTATCTCTTTAAAAATAAATAAATAAAATCTTTTTTTAAAAAAAGAAAGAGAAGATTCATAAAGAAGCTTTGACCCTCCTCTCCTTTCCTGACCAGGAGATTCAGACAGAAAAACCTGCTTCAGGAAGGAAATTGTAGGATGTTAGACTTAGCCTGAATAGCCTAATCTGAATTAGTATGGTAAATAAAAGGGCTTCAGACAGGGGCCTGTTAGACTAACTAGATACTTCGTGTCCCATTGTTTTGAGTTGCCTAGCAAGAATTTGCCTACCATGTATGTTCTCCTTTCCCTCAAAACCTGTAAGTCACCCATTCTCACTTTTGAAATTTAAGACTCCATTTTCCCTCCTTTTCTCCTTTCTCCAAATGTCACATACCCGATGTTGCTTCTCTGTCTGGGATTTTCATGCTTATGTGAATTCCCCATGCACATACATTAAAAGTTTTGATTTTCTCCTGTTAAATCTCTCTATGTTAATTTGATTATTAGTCCAGCTAGAAGAACTTAGAAAGTGAGAGGAAAAATACTCGTTTTTTTTAGCCCCTACATCGTCATGCTGAAGGATACAGAAGACAACTTGAAAGGGCCCCCGCAGACCAAATCAGACAACTTGAGTATCAAGATAAACAGTATTAGTCATTGGATAATATTCCACTGAATATAATAGGAATTTATGAGTCCATACTGATACAGTAAATCAAGTAGAAGTGTGATGAGGAATAGAATATTTACATAATCTCAAAGTCTTTCCCCCCAATACTTATTAATTACAAAGAAGAAAGAGTAAGTTACAGTAGAGAAACCTGGCATATACCATTTTAATCAAGTAATCAAAGTGAAAGAACAGATGGAAACAGGTACCACCTGACAGGGCGCAGTGGGAAAAAACAGCGTCATTTCTGTGACAGTCCTGCCAAAGGTGCGTACCCTGAGTCTAACTGTAAGGAACTGTCAGACAAACCCAAACTGAGAGACATTCTACCCTCATCTCCCCCCGGAAAAAAACCTGGCCTGTAGTCCTCAAAAGTGTCAAGGTCATGAGAGTAAAGATTTAAGAACTGTTCTAGATTAAAGAAAAATGAAGAGACATGACAACTAGATCTTTTTGCTATAAAAGGCATCACTTTGAAAACTGGTGATACTTGAGTGGGGTTTGAGGTTTAGAAATGGTAGGAGTGTGTCAATGTTCTTTTCCTGGTTTTGACTGTTGTATTGTGGTTATGTAGGAAAATGTCCTTGTTCGCAGGAAATATACACTAAAGTATTGGGGTGATAAGGCGGTAGGGCAACATATTGGCAAATTACTCTCAAATGATTGAGGTAAAAAATTCTTTGAACTATTCATGTAAGTGTTCTGTTTGATGTAGTTTCACAAAAACAGGTTTGAAAAAAAGGTTATTCTTAGGGAAAAACTTTTACATGGTTTTCCACAAATCATGTTACCCCTAGCACTGCTACTGTTTAATATAACATTGGAAGTTCTGTACAATGATGTAAGAAAAAAAAACAACAGCAAAACAAAACAAACAAGAATAAAAAACCCAACAAGGTGTAAAGACTACAAGAGGACATATAAAACTGTTTTTATTCACAGAAGGCATAATTATCTCTATAGAAAACTCAGCAGAATCAATAGACAAACTAGGAAGACCAAAAAAAGAGTTTATTAAGGTTGCCAGCTACAAGATCAATTATCTTCTTCTATAGACCTAAAGGAAATATTTACAAAGCAGACATGAGGTTAATATATGAATATACAGTGAAGTCTTATAAACCACCAAGAATGAAGACAGGAAAGCCAATAGTAAGAAAATGTGCAAAGCATGTCAATAGGCATGTGAAGTTCTACTGGTTAACAAGAATATGAAATAACACTCAAACTCACTAATAATCAGAGAAATGCAATTTAAAATAGCCAAGAGTCCACTTTATACCCATTAGAACTATAAAGATTAGAAAGCTGTATAATACCAAGAGTTTGGGAGGATAGAGGTGGTAAGAACTTGCAAGTAATATTAAGAGTTTAAACAAATACATATATTCTGAAAAAATGACCTGCTGGTACATAGTGAAGTTAATGTGTGTGGGCCTCTTGACCCACTCCTGGATATATATCCCAGGGAAATTCTTGAATGGGTTCACAGGGGATCAGGTAAGAAGATAATTTCCTAGAATTGCTTGTAGAAGTGCAGGATGGATAAGTAAACTATGATGGATCCCTACTATGAAATCCTATGTAGCTGTCATAGCAATGAACTAGATTATATATAGCAATAAGGATGGATCTTAGATATTGAATTGACTGGAAAAAAGTAAAAACAATCAAGTGACAATGCCATTTATGCAAATTTAAAATGCATACACTAAACAACCTGTAATAGGCTGAATAATGTCCCCCCAAAGATGTCCACATCTTAATCCCTGTATCTGTGAGTCCCCTGAATATGGCAAAAGGGATTTTGCAGCTATGATTGAATTCAGGACCTTGAGATGGGGACATTATTCTGGATTATATGGTAGACCTGATGTAATTACAGGATGTTTATAAGAAAGTGGCAGAAGCAAGTAGTGTGATGATAGAACAAGAAGTTATACAGAAGGAAGAAGGGGCCACAAACTGAGGAAATCTGGCAGTCTCGACAGGCTGGAGAAGGCAAGCAAACTGACTCTCCCCTGTAGAAGGAATGGAGACCTGCCAATACTTAATTCTAGATTTCTAACCTCTAGTTCTGAATGAAAGAGAATAAATTTGTAATATTTTAAGGTACTACATTTATAGCAATTTTTATAGCAGTAATAGAAAACTAATACACGACCCTACATATTTTACAAACACACATGCACAGTTAGGAACATATATCAAGCACATTTGAGTGGTGTCTATGGAGGAGAGAAATAAGAGAATAGAATGAAAGGGCATCATAGACTAAAACAAAAGAGGTGGCCTGTACATCAATGAAAACACTGTGCTATAACCTGAAGATTAACTCAAGTCTCCATGGGAAAGGTCCAGCAAAGAGAAATAGAAACAGGTCACTCTGATTGCTGTGCAGAAAACAGGTTGGATGCTCTGCAAGGCACAACAAATATTCTGAGCATTGGCTCCTTTAAAAGCTTTTCTTTCTCCTTTGTATCTTGATTCTGTGAAGCTGGTTCCCTGAGGAACAGGCATAAATATTTTGGTTATTGAAAGGTATACCACTTATGGTAAATCACTCAATTCCTCTTACAAATTTTATTAGTGTGAATTAGTCCAAGATCTACCATGGGTCGCTGGACAAATTCAAGATTCCAAGTTTGTGAAGATAAGGACAAACCTGCACTGTGCTACCTTAAAATTATGTAAAGGCACAGTACAGCCAACCTCCATCCTGGCACCTCCCCATCCTTCAAATTTAAGCCTTATTCCTCCTGTTATCCCAAATGCCTAGCAAAGGACGGTACACACAGTAGGCACAAGCTGCTTGTTAGTAACCGTCCCTGCTGGCCTAGTGATTGGGATCTGGCACGTCCCAGTACCTGTTCGTGGAACAAGGTGACCCTCCCTTTCCCTCAACGCAGCCCGTCTTTCTAGTTTTATTTCCTACGTTGCATCTCCCCTGAGGATTCATTTTTCTCTGAACACTCCACATTCTTTCACATCCACTTGCCTTTGCAAGTACTGTTCCCAATGATTAGAATAATGTTCTTTTTTTAAAGAGGAAGTTCAAATAGTACTTCTTCCTGGTCTCTCGATGCATTCATTTAATGAATATTGAGCATCGTTACAAGCTGGGCACAATGCAAGCTATTAAAATGTGATCGTAAACTAAGCATAAAGGGTTACCACCTTCGTGGAGGCTTAGCGGGGGAGACGGAGTTCAACAAACCTAATTTATTATGTTCACTTTGATGAATACACAATTACCAACTGAGATGACATGCTTGAAGGAAACGCACACTGTTCTTTGAGAGCACTTAACCACGGAATCTTTTTTAGATTAGGGTGGGTTATGAGTAGAGTGGCTCAAGGAAGGCCTCTCTGAGGAAATGTTTTAAGTGCCTGAAATGGCGTCCCCAAAGCTTGACGCTACACTACGATTAGAGTCAGCTCGGGGTCTCTCCAACCAGCCACCGAGAGAGGTGGCCTCAATCAGGACAGCCAGTCCTTCCCACAATACAGCCAGAATGGTCTTTCCCTCACCAGTCCCGAAACCTCGCGAGAATACGACCGCACCCGTTATTGCCCAGCCCCGGGGCGCCACGCCTCCTAGCTTCAGACCGGTCTCCTTTTTCCTCTTTCCTCGCCTTCCATCCCGCGCTCCGCTCTCGGATTGGCTGACTGAGTCGGGTCCGTTTTTTCCTGGCTAGGAAGTGGTTCGGCAACAAGTCCAATTTTGGCCCCGCCCTCGAAGCCTGCGGATTGGACTCCCGAGTAAGGGGTCACGCGCCTCCGGGAGCGCGGACGAGCCAATCAGGGGCTTGGCGTATTTTACAAACTGGGGAAGTAGCTGCAGTAGAAGCCGAGTCCGGGGGAAAAAGCGAAATAGTGGGGGCAACCCTGAGGGGTTGCCGGGAAGGTGCGGCACGGGGATCTTGGAAGGAATGGGGGCTGTGGAGGTTCATAAGGAGATGCAGCTCGGGTTCTTGGGGCGAAAGGGTACACGCAGGGTGTCTGGATGTGGCACTCAGAAGTGCGGGCCTTGCAGGCGCCGCGTCTTCTGGACGCATGGATTTGAACGAAAGTGGAAGTATTAGGGATGTGAGGACAGAGCCAATGCCCAAACTGGCCGACCCTTTGATCTCTGATCCTGCCTTCTTCCCCGTTTCAGTTATAGCCGTCATGACCACCCTCCAAACCAAGAAGGATTCTCTCCTCCGGGGTGTATCACCCACCCCTAGCAAGATTCCGGTACCTTCAAAGAGACGCCCACCTCTCCCTACTGTCAAGCCCTCCGCCCAGGACCAAGAGAACCAAGATCCAAAGGTAAGAGGGACTTGGTGGTGAAGACAGTAGCCACAAGGAGGCAGCACACACCAGCAATGTATCCCGACGCTGAATTTTTTTGTCCTCTCCTCCCCTAGAGATTGGAGCAGAAGATCAGTATTCAACGTCCCCTTGCTGACTCAGCATGCCCCAGGCCAAAAGCCACCCATCAAACAGAGAAATCAGAGAGATTGGTGGGGAGCACTCTGCTTCGGAACCCCTTGGAGGAGCTCAGGCCTAGCCCTAGGGGACAAAATGTAGGGCCTGGGCCCCCTCCACAGACAGGTACTTTTTGGAGGCCTAGAACACAGTCTCTTTGGCTGGTTGGTAGAATGGGGTGGGGATAGTGGAGTTGGGGGGCTTTGCACTCCTCCAGTCTCCCGCAGACTATAAGAGTCCATCCTGGTCCTTGCTCCTGGAAAGCTCTTTGCTTTTAAAAGCCCACTCCTTCCTTCAGCAAAATGTCATCTCTTCTAAAGCCTTTTCCAGCATTGCAGTCACAATCAATTACTCTGTGTTTTAATACTTTGCTATACTCTTTTATAACATGTCCATACTTTGACTTGAGTCTGTTACCTCTTTAGTTTGATGATAGCTTCTTGAGTATGGGGACTTTGTCTTATTTATCTCTGGGCACCAGGGCTAGGGTAGTGCCGCATTTAATGTTCTGTGAACATTTGGTGAGTTCAGTCCTATTATGAGTCTCTGGCTCACGGTTGTACCTCCAGGTGACTACATAGGGTACCAGTCCCCTCAGCTTTCCCTCTTCCCATTCCATCTCACCTTTCCTTCCCTTCCTTTGCAGAGGTTCCAGGGGTCATAGAGTTTGTGGCTGACCCTGAGGCTCTGGCTACCATCCTGTCAGGTGAGGGGGTGAAGAGCTGTCGCCTGGGGCGCCAGCCCAGTCTAGCTCAGAGAGTACTGGTTCGAGGGAGCCAGGGAGGCACCATCCGGAGGGGCCAGGTAATGAGACAGGATATGAGGCAATCAGGCTGGGGTGGACTGAGGAGGGAATCCTGAGCTGATAGCTTCTTTTGGGGGTCCCAGGGTGCCCGGGCCTCTGCATATTTGCCTCCCAGAACCCCCCAAAACCGACTGGACCCTGCCAGGGCTTCCTGCTTTTCAAGGCTGGAGGGACCAGGACCCCGAAGCCGGACCTTGTGTGCCCAGAGGCTAGAGGCTATGGTGAGTGCCCTTGAAAGGGGACTGATACTCAGTGCTCCTGGGAGCTCCTTCCAGGGACAAAGCTGGGCCTTGGGAGGTAGCTCATGATGAGCCAAAGGGGTTCTGTGGAGGCAAAGGAGGTGGGTGGTGAGGCCTGAAGGTTTGGCGCCCACTTGTGACTCTGCTTTTTTCTTTTCCTTTTATGGGTCAGATTCTACCTTCAGGATCTTCCTTTCACTCCTCTGCTCGCCCCAGCTTCCAGAAGCTAAAAAGAGAGATAGGTGGCAGCAGGTGAGGAGAGGGTCATTTGGAAAAGAATGATCCAGTGTCCCAGGCAGGGATCCCTCAGAGCTGAGGCCTTCCAGCAGCTTTAGGACTTTCCACCAGCCAGAAAGGGAAGGGGGAACCTGTGACCGCCCAGGTGAGCCCTTGGAATAGGATTCAGGGCTTGCTGGCCAGGCCTCAGTAGAACATCAGTTTCTTCAGGTTGTGAGGAAGGAAGGGGACAAAAATGAGAGGTCCTGTCTCTTTTATTTAGTGGCTGGATCACAGACTAGGGCAGTAAGTGGAATCTGGGATTGACTCCTGACCCTTAGCCAATTTACTAGTTGTGTAAGCTTGCCTGAACCTCCATGCTTCAAGTTCTTTAATCTGTCAAATGAGGATAATGTTTGTGTCATCATTAGAGGTTGTAAGAATTAAATGAAATGTTTGTAAAGCAGTTAGCACAGTGCCCAGCTCATACTTGATATGCAGTGACTGCTAGCTGCTGCCCTTGTTGTCATCAGGACTTCAGTGAGCCAGGCCTCAGGATTGCTCCTGGAGACCCCAGTCCAGCCTGGTGAGTGTGTCTGGCCATGGAGAGAGAACAGGGGCAGGTGGGCTGTCTGCAGTGGGGATCAAGAGGAAAAAGCTCAACAGGCTTGAGGGGAAGAGGAAAGGGCCAGATCAGAAGGGGCTGGAGAGGAAGAGACCTTCTTGATAGGCCAGAGTTTGGCCCAGTTGCCCCTGAGTCAAAGGAGGTGGTCCCTATTCCTACCCTCTCCCTGACACTTCTGACAAGAATTGCCTTCCCCTCACTATTTTATCCTCAGCCCCTAGGGGCCATCAGCACACCCCAAAACACTCAGGGTATTCAGATTAATAAGTGGTTATCGAGCTAGTTCTGGGCTCCAAGGAGATATTGGACGGCTCCCTACCCCTGATGGGACAGTGAGGGCTGTCAAGCTGATATATTCTCTTTAGAGGCTGTAAAGCCCCATGCCAAACTTTTATGGGTGTTCCAGACACTACAGCAAATATCCTGTCTCCTCCCAGCTTCCTCGATCCCAGAAGGAGAACATGAAGTTGTCACTCACTCAGATGAAGAAGGAAAGGGCCGCCTCGGTCTGGCCCAGTGGGTTCCATTGAGAGAAACCCAAGAGATAACTCACAGCAAGGTAAGATGGGACCCTCCTGGGCTAGGGGAAGTGGTGAAGAGAGATGCTTGGGGAAATTCTCCAGCAGCAGCCAGCACTGAGGATTGTGGGTGGAACCAGGTTAGTCCGGGGCCTCCAATACTAATTGGATCTGGGTTTACTCCCCATGGGCCCAAGCCCTCTCCAGAGTAGGACTGGCCTCCTTATACCAGGTGTCTGGGGTCTGGAGGTGAGAGGTCACAGTCTGATATATATGTGTATCTCCATCAGATCAGTGCTGAGAGATCTGACACTTGTCAGCCAAAGCATTCATTCATTCACTCTGCAAGTATTTATTGATCGACTACTGTTTGTCAAGAACTGTTCTGCGTTCTGGATATACAGTAGCAAATAAGTTTACATTCTAGAAGGGGGAGGCAAAAAGTAAACACATTATAAAATATATGGTATGTCAGATAGTAATAAATTCTCTGTAAAAAAAAATAATAATCAGGTACTGAAGGGAAAGTAGAAGTGGGGAAGTGGTATTGTAATTTCAAATAGACTGGTCAGGAGGATCTTACTGAGAAGATGACGTTCAAGTGAAGACCAGAAGGGGTTGAGGGAGTAAGCCCTCCAGATATCTGGGGGAAGAACATGCAAGGAGAGCTGCAGGTGCAAAGGCCCTGAGGAGGGAATGTGCCTACTTTGTTTAAGGATCAGCAAAAAGGAGATGGCAGCAAGACTGGAGGAAGGAGAACGGCAGGAAGTGAGGTTACAGCAATGGCAGGATTAGACCGGGTAAGGATTTACAAACCAGTATTAGACCTTGGGTTTTACTTGGAATAAGTGGAAAGCCATGGGGAGCAGGAATGAACAAGGGAGTGACATGATGTGATTGGATCTTAAAAGAATCACACTGGCTGCTGTAGTGAGAACAAGACCTACGAAAGCAAGAAGGGAGGGATCGATCTTCCACCTTGTTCCTGTCCACAGGACAGCCGGGACTGCCACCCGATGCCTTCCCCTGGCCGTGTGCTGTTACCATCCATCACCCGTCCATCCCCCTTTGGGTTGGCTCAGCGTGTTCCCTCCCCCAGCCCCTCAGCTCTGGTTTGTATCCATAGGGGTTGGGCAAGGGCGGAACAGTTGGGCTGGGATCCCTGCTAGGTCGAGGTTTTGTGACTACTCAGCCAACCCCATCTCTCCCCAGGCCTCACATTCAGTGTTGCGGCGTCTTGCCATTCGACCCAAAACCCAGTTCACACCCATCCCATCAGCCCCCAGAGCTCAGCAGGTAAGAGAGGGAAGGGGAGGTAGCTGGCATAGGAAGGGAGTGAATGGGTACAGAAAGGGTCATGACATCTCACTTCTCTCCCAGGTCCAGTGTGTGAGTGGCCTCTCTCCTCAGTCTTGTCCTGAAGAGCCCGCCCTGCCCTGGGTAAGTGCCCAAAACCTTCCAGTGCTAAAATCCCTCACTCTACCCTGTCAGCCTGAGGCCCAGCAGTTTGAGGCCAGTGGGCTCTTTAGAGAAGCTACCTAACTCTCCAACTCTCCCTGCTTCTCTGCTCTCCTAATCTCAGTCTAGGGCCTCTCAGTTAGGCACCTGGTCCCTTCCTCATGGGGCGGGGGGGGACTCAGACTGGTTTTCCTGCCCCAGCCAGGCTTCCTCACATGGTCTGTCTCTTCCCATGTGGCAGGAGCAGATTGCAGTCCGGTTATTTGACCAAGAGAGTTGTAAAAGATTGCAGGAGGAGCCTGGGAAACCACCTGTGGCAACTCCTCATGGACCCCTCCCCAGTGGAACCCCCAACCTCCAGGAGCTGAAGAAGCAGGTGGGTCTGACTGGGCAACAGCTTTGGTGCCTGATGGGTAGTGAGGGCTGGGAAAGGAGAAGTGGGAGGAGAGTGGGTATGGGAATAGGAATAGGACTGTGGGTAGAGCCTTGAACCCACATCTTTTTTTTTTTTTAGTCATGTTTATTCCATTACGGTTGTCTCCATTTTTCCCCCTTTGCCCTCCTCCACCCATCCCACCTCCACCTGCCCCGTGAACCTACATCTTGTCATCACACTGGTGTATTCTCTCCAACCCACAGCGCATCAGTATCCTGCAGCAGCTTTTGCAACAGGAAGTACAGGGGCTGGCAGGGAGCAAATGCGCCCCCCTTACTGGAGGCTCCTCTCTGGATATGGTAGAACTTCAGCCCCTGCTGGCAGAGATTCCTAGAACTCTGAATGCCCCACAGCATAATTCTGGGGCTTTCCACCTTCCTAAACTGTTCCGGCACTCTGGACTGCCAAAGCCCTGCCTTCCTGCGGAGTGTGGGGAAGCACAACTCTGTCCTGGAGCAGAGCCAGAGGTAGCTCAGGCCTGCCCTCCAGCAGAGCCAGGGCCCCCAGGGTCCTGCCACAGGAGGGAGCCTGAGATTCCAGAACCTGTCGCCCAGGAACAGCCTGAGGTATCTGAGGCCTGCCCTCCCGTAGAGCCTGGATCCCTTCAGGCCTGCTCCGCAAGGGTAGAGCCTGGGGCATCAGAGGTGTGCTCCCTGGAACCTCGGAGTACAGAGTCCAGCCCACAGCCCTGTTGCTATCAGTGGGCTCCAGCAACCACCAGTGTGACCTTCTCTTCCCAACACCCACTTTGTGCCAGCCCCCCTATCTGCTCGCTCCAGTCTCTGGGGCCCCCAACCGGCCAGACAGGTAAGTAGTTGGTTGGAAGGACTTCTGAACAAAGGAGGTCCTCATCTTGCTGGGAGCGGGACCCGTGCCCTGTACCAGGTGATCCCAGGCTTGCTTTCTTTTACCTAATTTGCCCAGCCTGGCACTCCTTCAGGAAGATAGCAGGAGCTGGACCTCCAGTTGTATGCTTCTAATTGGCTTAGCCCTTGGGGGGATTGAGAAAGGGCAGTATAAGGTGAGAGTATAGGACCCCAGAGCCCATCCTGAACTCTGGCCCTTGGACCCTCAGGCCCTAGTAGTCTGGCTCCTCGAACCCTGGCCCTGAGGCAGCGCCTCAAAGCATGTCTGACCGCCATCCGCTGCTTCCACGAGGCTCGCCTGGATGACGAGTGTGCCTTCTACACCAGCCGAGCCCCTCACTCAGGCCCCTCGCGGGTCTGCACCAATCCAGTAGCCAAGCTATTGGAATGGCAGGATGCCCTGGTGAGCTTCCCCGTCCACAGCAAGCCTGTGGGAAGTAGAAAGGGGCAGAGGCCAACCTTGGCTCCTTTACAGAGCTTAGTGGGGAAAGGGTGGCTCAGGTCAAGGGTGGCTGGGCTGTGACAAGTTCTCCTCTCTCTCCAGTGTTTTATTCCAATTGGTTCTGCTGCCCTTCAGGACTCTCCGTCATGAGGCACCCACCTCCACCTGCTCCTGCCCTGTCTTGCTCCTTCCTTTTAGCCCTTATTTATTGTCGGTCCACCCCATGGGATTGGGAGCTGACACGCTTTTGTCCTTCAATAAAGTTTCTAAAGTGTCTGAATGTTGGTTTCTCTCTGGTCTGACCTAGGCCAGCTACTGCTGTTGCTCTCCAGTTGTCCACTTGGTGGCAGTGTCCTCCATCTTAGAGCCAGCTCTGGGCTCTCAGCATCTCCCCCCACCCCCTCACCTTGGGTCTGTCCTGAAGGGAGAAAGTCAGCCCACTCTTGTTCACCTCAGCAAGTTCTGTGAGTGTGTTGGGGGACAACACTCCTAGTCAGTCCCCTTTGGAGACCTGCTCTTTTCCTTGGTTCTTGAGATAGGTGGCACTTCCAGGAGCCATCAGCAACTCTGTCATCCCCTAGAACTCCTCTTCTTAGAACTCTCCCTGCATCAGGCAGAAAGCTGAACACTGGACCCATATCCTTGGAACCCTCCCTTGTTAGTGTCACTCTGGCTGTCTCCCTGCAGGGGTGTCCAACCTTTCAGCGTCTCTGGGCCACACATTAAATACACAAACACTAGCCCTGACTGGAGTAGCTCAGTGGGCTGAGTGCCTGCCTTCGAAGCAAGGGGTTGCTGGTTTGATTCCCAGTCAGGGCACAGGCCTGGGTTGCAGGCCAGGTCCCCAGTAGGGGCTGCGCAAGAGGCAACCACACACACTGGTGTTTCTCTCCCTCTTCCCCTCTAAAAGTAAATAAAATCTTTTTAAAAAATAAATACACAAACACTAATGAAAATGTGAGCAAAAAAAAAAAAAAAAAGCTCCATGTGGAATTCTCAATTTTTTGTTGGGCTGCATTCATAGCCATCCTGGGCCCTGGGCGGGACACCCTTGCGCAGTATAAGGTTGGAAGCTCTCCTGAAGCTGATACCCACCGTCTCCCCCTCCCCACATTACAGCAGAAGCCCTGGGCTGCTCCCCTCCTCCTCCAGAGGCAGGCCTTGCTGGGAAGGACTAGACTTTTGTCTCTGGGGTGGGTTAGAGTCCTGGAGGGGAGTTTGGGTAGAGGTCAGCCCCCTGTCCCCGCTCTGCCAGTTAAGAGGCACACACATTCTCTAACGTCACTTTATTGGAAGAGGCAACAGCAGCTGTAGCCCCGGGGCTAAGTCCAGATCGGAGTAAAATGGGGGCTGTACAGAATGAGTTTTAAATGCTAGGAAGGAATTCACTAGTCCCTCCAGTTCGCAGAAAGGCTGCCAAGGCGGGAGCCTGGAGCCTGAAAAATGGAGGTGAAGGGAGGAGGGGATGGCAAGAGAAAGTTGTTATGACGGTGGACCAGCACCTACGCAGGGCCTAACGCGGCCTTTCAACTAGACGGGCTCCTTCTGTCCCTCCCGCAATGCCTGGTCTAGCTAGTGAGGCCGTACTGAGCTCCCGGCGGCGGAGGAGAGGGGCAGGACCTCTGCCCCTCTAAGACCGGCTTTCACGGCCCGCCCACCCTACACCCACTCCCGCCCCGCCCCGCCGGGCACAGGGGTGCCAGTGGTTCCTTCCCTAGCCGCTCGGTTCCTCCAGCCCGGCCTCCGCTCCCCAGCCACTTATACCCCGGAGCATTAAGAGTCCGTTCCAGAAGGCCGCCCCCGGGAGCAGGAGGGTCCGCCCCACCGCCCGGCTCTCAAAGGATGGGATGGCGCCTTGGGTGGGGCCGACTAAAAGTGGATGAGAGGGGAGCGAAGAGAAGGGCAGGCGAGGGGTGTGGGGGATGGGGCCCGGCTCAGTCTGGGTAGATGATGAAACCAGAGAAAGTGCTGTACTTGTTGGTGTTCCCGCCGTGCACCTTCCCGCCGTCCAGCTTGATGAAGACTTCATCGCCCACATCCAGGTGCAGGATGACGCTGTTGCTGGCGTAGTCGTAGTTCTGGTCTGCGTCCTGGGCAATGGCGCTGGCCCGGACCTACCGAGGGAGAACAGAACAACCCTTCACGCCCTGTGCGGAGCTGGGTTGATGAGATGGGTCCGGCCAAGTAGACGCAGCTGGGCCTGTGAAAGGCCGCGCAAGGGTAGCTGGCTGCAGGGGCTGGGGAGGAAAAGGAGAGGGCAGATCGCTGAGCTGCTCAAGCACCACCATTCGCTAGCTGTGCGACTCTGGCAAGTTTCATGCCTTCTTTGGCCCTCAATCAGAGCTATAAAATGGAAGGTAATAATAGAGTCTACCTTCTAATATTAGAGTTAAATGAGTACTACATGTGAAGTGTGTTAGAACAGTGCTTGACACCTAGAAAACGCTATAAGGCTTTACTATTATTATTATTATTTATTTAAATATAAAATTAGACCATAGAATAATTTCTAGGATTCTGAACCCCCTCTTAGCCTCCTGAACTTGCATTCCCAAGTGATAGAGCAAGGTGTGTATGTGCGAATGCAAGGGCGCGGGTCTTAAATAGGAAAGTACTGCAATGATGCCTTCTTGACTCCTGTGCCCATTTCCCTCCAAGCTCCCTCTGGCGCATCCATGTAGGGGTCGCCTTCTGCCCCAACAGGTAGCCTCTCCTCCCCTCTGGCTCACTGCTGCTGGTTGCCTCCCGCCTCCTGCCGCCAGCCCTGCTCACAACACCCCCCTTCCTGTCCCGCGGGGGCTGGTTATTAACTCATTAATTATTCATCATTATTCTAATCACTATTTACTGTCCTCAGGGCCCGCAGCGCCCGCAATACTGAGTGGGAGCCGGGCAGCCCCTGCCCCCTCGGAAACTGACACACTCTAGATACACACTGTCCCCTCCACCCACTCACAGATAGCCCTTATAGACCACACACACCTACTCATTGCTATATGCAGATAGAAACAAGAAACGTGCTTTTCTTTCACACCTTTGCACCCCTGCAATAACAGACACACTCGCATCACACACACATTCTCACACTCGCTTGCACACATACTCTATCTCACTCCCATACAGACACGCACACACTCTCCCTTTCCTTGGGTTCCTTGGGTGGCCCTGCAGGAAGGCGACCCCAATGCAGTGCTTGTGGGTCTTGAAGCGGTAGAGGGCTGCAGCACAGCAGAACCCGGGTTTCCCACAGCCAGGATGAGCGGGCCTTGTGCGGCAGGGCACAGTCACCACCACCCAACCGTGTGGGGTATTCAGAGGTCACTGCTAAGTCCCAATGTTACCCCCTGCTGCTTGGCGGCCCAGGCACCTAAACCAGCCCTTATGCCAGAGGCAGCCTTTCGCTCCCTCTGTGTGTGTCCTGGATCCTCGAGCTAAGTCCTTGGGGGCTATTTTCCCAAGCCAAGGTGGCAGTGACTCCGATTCCAACCACAGGGGCAGGAAGCAGCAGAACCTGAAGGCCAGAGGCCCCAATGAAGATGTGGGGCCTGGTCAAGTAGGCCCCACATTCTCTGCCTTGTCTTTCCTCCTCTAAACCTGTCCTTTGCCTCTTTCCTTCTTCAAACCAGTACCTTCAAGCCACCTGCCTGGTGCCTTGAGCTACCATACCATTTCTCACCGCTGCCTACCGACTCAATATCAGCTGAGTGTAAGACTGCTCTAGAATTGGCCCCGAGCCCTGGGACTGGCAACAGAACTGATGGTAAATGAGCCAGTGTTTTCCTTGTTTTTCACCTTTTCCTAAAAAAAAAAAAAAAAAAAAAAAATCCAAGCTGAATGCCCTCGCATTGGAACGTCTGCCTACTGTGCACTTCCTGGGACTTGGCAGCCCGGCATTCCTGGATTCAGTGACGGTGTTTCAGGAAGGGGACCGGACTGCGTAATGAAGGCAGGGAGATTTAGAAAGCTACCCAGCAAATCTGGGGCTGGGAGAGGGGGCATCTCACCTGTCCATTCTTCATCAGGTCAGCCCACATGCTGGTGCCGTCTCCGCCGCGCATGAGCACATGGTAAGCGAAGAAGTAGACACCCGGCATGGGGCAGGTGAACTTGCCACTGGCCGCCTCATAAGCGTTGCCGACGTTGGTCACCACGTCGTCGAAGCGCAGCACCTCGTAACCTTCGTGTGGCCGCCGCAGGCCCGCGTAGAAGGCAATTCGGGGCAGGTAGCCGGCAGGGGGCGCCACGCCTCCGGGACCTGGGCCAGGAGGGCCAGGAGGACCTGGCCTTCCCGGCTCTCCTGGAGGCCCTCGGGGACCTGGCGGTCCCGGGGGCCCTCGAAGACCTGCCTTCCCGCGCCGGCCCACCTCTCCTTTGGAGCCCGGGGGGAAGGGGGGCACGGAGACAGGGGCGCCGTCGGATCCTGGACCTCGAGGCCCATGCGGGTCGCACACCATGCGACAACGACCCAGCATCTCGTAGTGCGCCGGCCCGCGGGAGCTGTGCACCAACAGCGGAATAGCCACCAGCAGCAGCAGCACCATGGCCACCCCGACGGCCGCACCGGCCACCCGCTTGCGGCGGCTCAGACGCGACGCGGCCAGGGCCAGGAGATCCTCCTCACTCTTGGGCGCAATGGCGGCGGAGGCTCGGGGCTCTCTGTGGGCCCCGGAGGCGGCGGCCGGGCTCGCGCCTGCGTCGGGACCGCCCCGACGGCTGCGCCTGGCCCCCCACTCCCTTGTAGGCTCTCGCCTCAGCGGTGCGGTTCTCCAAACCTTCCGTCAAGGCGGAGGTCCTGCGTGGGCTGGGCCAGGGGCAGCTCCCGACGGTTCAGAACCCGTGGTCCTCTATTACCCTCCTGTTCAGCCTAACGTTCCCGGGCGTCTGACATCTGCGGTTTCTTGTGCGGCTGATCTCTCTGGACAGCTTCTTTCTCAAGGATGGCGGAGCCGAGGTCCCCAGCTACCCAGACGGATCTCTCCTGGCCGGAGCGGGGACTACTCTCCGCTCTCTGGACGTCCCGGGCTCTGTGCTGAGGGTGGCAACCACCGGACGCGACCTCCTCTTAGGTTTGCGCTCTGGCTCTTGGCGAGCACTGATCCGCCTTTCCACCCCAGCCGCGGCCCCAGCCTCTGCTAGAGCCCGGGCCCCGC